TTTTTTTTTATTTTACTGGCTTTGACTTTTAGAATACAGTATCCAGGCAGTTAACTTTGCAAGAGTTTGGGTTTGTTGGTTTTGGTGTTTGGGTTTGGGGGGTGTTTTAGGGGGGGGTGGGAGGTGGTGTGGGTACGTGGGCAGGGAGACACAAGCTATTCAACACTAACATGTCTTTGCAAAATTAAAAGAAAAACTGAAAATCTTCAAGGAAAAGCCAATTGACCTAGGGGAAAAAAAAAAAACTGTTCTAAGTCAGTATTTGGAAAAAAAAAACCAGCGATGACTGATAGGGGGGTCAAGACCTACCCTAGAATTCTGGGGAAGTCCCATGACAAAAGTCCATCTGTTTTTCTGTAAGTATGGCAGTAGGTGCACTCTGTCTTTCTGAGCCACCATATGAAAACAATGAAATTTTTCTTAACCTATTGAACACATGCGCTGGCTGACATTTAAAGATCCTTTAGGTCTACTCAATATTTTGTACTAGTATGTAGGATGAGGATTTTGCTTTTAACTTCCAAATTTTACTTTATATATATAGATATTAAATGTATTACTACGTCATATGGCACAGATAGTTTATTAGCTATTTAATGTTCTAATATTACTAGGTATAAAAGAATACCAGATAAGAAATCTCTGTATGAAGCAAGAAGATCCATGGAAGCAAATTCTGGGATTTTCTGTTGCACTGCATTCTTCATGCTGTGTTCTTTAACACTCTTCATTCCAGTTAATAGCTGAGAAGCAAGCACAGCTTCACTGACCTAAAAAGAGTATTTATTTTATGCAGAACCAGTTCACTACAATATTTATACAGATTTTAAAATCTGAGAGCAGCAAGATGATGAAAAAAAAATTACTCAACATACTGTATTTTTAAAAGTCAGGAAAATATTCTATTTCTCTCTGACATATGGTACATACTATACTGAAATAAATCATTACTGTTGACAGCTTAATTACTACATAAGTGATTTCAAATCAGATATCCCCACCTGGATGCCACTAATGTCTACCCACATGTCAAATACATGTGCACACATATCAGGCAGTATGTTCTTTTATTTGCACTGAATCAAAGTTGAGGTAAACAGAGTCAGATCTGTTCAACAGAGATTAAGTGCACTTCTCAGACAGTGTCCATTTTAATTTCCTCAAATAAGACCCATTCCAGAAATTTCAGGAAAGCTTAATCTTGTCTTGTTTGCATTGTTTCGTTTGCTTGTGTAAGTAGCATAAGATGAAGTTTAAAAAAAAAAAAGCAAAAAATTACCTCTGCAGAATATTGAACCAACCTGTGTAGCTGCTCTTATTGCAATCCAGGCTCGTACTTTATAGCCTTCTGATTTCAGAGACTCCTCTGGAGAAGAGGAGAGTTCTTCAGAAGAAGCCTAAAATCATACACCAGTTCATAATTAGGATTCTAAATATATTATGGTAAAATATATTTTAAAGATAGAAATAAGTCCTCTTACTTACAGAATTATTGTTTTATTTGCAAGCTGTAAAAATCAGCATTGATTGTAAATCCATGGATTAATTGCTAAAATTTAAAAATATTATCCAGAGCATACTAATTGGCTGGTCCTGTAAAAATTTTCTCAGAGCAGTTCATACTATGATCACTACTGTATACAGTTTTGCTATAATTTTTCATTTTCTGGAATCTTAATTACCTCCGTTCTCTTGGGTTACACATTATGCTGTAGCCACTTCAAATAAAGTCTTTTATATTTCTCATGCTGTAACTCGTATTCATACTGAAAAATTTAAATCTGGTAAAGTATAACTATTACAAATTAAAAACCAGGTTTGAATGTTATGTTTTCTTTTCAAGGTACAAATTAATTAGTACATAATCAGAAATGAAAACACTGTTGGTTCTACTTCTTCCTATTTTATACAGAAATATATTTTAAATATTATCATTCAACGCAATAAACATGAGAAATAACATCAAACAAGATAAAATTATACTGCTGTACTATATGATTTATTTATGTGATTTTTCTAGTAGGATTTTCAGTATTGGTATGATTTATAAGTCACTGTAAGTAATAGTCCAGCAAGGTGCACAATGTCCTAAACAGAAATATATTTCCTCTGAAGAGGCCACTACCCAAAAGACAGAAAACATACATTTGATTTGGAAGGCACCATCTTATCAGTCTGTGACACATCCTCATTATTTGTGGCAAAATGCAAATATAATAGTGCTATTTCAAGGTATGATCTTCTTATTAACCTGTAAGAAACAACACACAGATCAATGAATGTTACTATCAAAGTAAACATTACAATGATACAATCTGACTCCTGCACAAGACTAGCCAGACAGCCTCATGAAACAAGTCATTCATCTAGCCTTCATCATCTACTTAAACTGTATCTTCTTTCAGAAAATCATGTGATCCTGTTTTGAAGTCTTAGTGAGTCTAAAACCTTCTTATGATATTCTTATCAAATAACACACTGATTTAAGAGTATGTCAAATATAATTTGCATCATGTGCAACAAATATTCCATTAATAAATTACAAATAGTTAGTAAGAAAACTGTAATTCTGCAAGGGAAGTGATCTTTCTGTACAGAATCTGTAGGGGTTCCTCTTCCTTCCTAAAGTTAAGGCATATATCCATTGTCCTGGTTTCCCTGAAATATGGCTGGCTGAATTTGGATAGGGTCTTCAGTCAAACTCTTCCAAGAATGAGCAAAAATACCCACAGTGACCAAAAGAGTCTTTCATTTCTTTATTGGGATTAGCTAAGGAACCTTCTCAGGAACCCCTTTCAACTTCTAGCAAGGACCAGTCAGATTCCTGTTCTGCACCAGAACACTCTACATCTTCAGACAGACTGTGGTTACCAGTTCCTGTTCTCCTCCTAAGCTTCCTTCTCCTTTCAGTTATTTTCTCAGTAGTGTTATAAACCAGGCCTAAATCATAGAATGGTTTGGGTTAGAAAGGGCCTTTAAGGGTCATCTACTCCAACCCCCCTGCAATGAGCAGGGACATCTTCAACTAGATCAGGTTGCTCAGAGCCCAGTCCAACTTGACCTTGAGTGTTTCCAGGTACGGGGCATCTACCACCTTTCTGGGCAACATGTTCCAGTGTTTCACCACCCTTACTGTAAAAAAATTCTTCCTTATAACTAGTCTGAATCTACCTTGCTTTAGTTTAAAACCATTACCCCTTGACATATTAAAATGTCTGTCCCCATCTTTCTCATAAGCCCCCTTTAAGTATTGAAAGGCCACAATAAGGTCTCCCCAGAGCCTTCTCCAGGCTAAACAACCCTAACTCTCTCGGCCTTTCCTCACAGGAAAGGTGTTACATTCCTTTTTTCCCATCATTTTGGTGGCCCTCCCCTGGACCTGCTACAAGAGGTCCATGTCTTTCCTGTGCTGAGGACTCCAGAGCCAGATGCAGTACTCCAGGTGGGTTGTCACCAGGGGAGTAGAAGGGCCAGAAGGGCAGAATTAGCTCCCTCGACCTGCTGATAATCACTATACCTGGAGAACTTCTCCAACATTTCTCTTCCCTATAGGTTTATAACGGTCTTTTTATGCAGGGTGCTCCTAGCTCTGTAGATCTCTCCAGATCTCCCACATGAATTAGCTTTCCTAGGCATAGCAACAAAGTCCTGCTCATGGAGTTACTATCTGGACAGAGTCATATTGCACAGAGTTGGCTGTTTATACAGTACAATAAATTTCATCTTTGGTATGATTTGTGTAATGCAAAATACAAAAGTCAGAGTGCTGTACAGCTCAAGATAGGGCAAACTGTGGGAAGTTGGCAAGTTCTACACTTAAGTTGGTGACAATTTAGTTAACTCTCTAGTCTTGCTAACAAAAAAAGGATTTGAGACATCAAGAAACAATTTTAATTAAACAATCCCATAGATATCAGAGGGCTTGTATAAAGGTGATCGGGATGTTTAGTTCTCTAAAACAAGAAACCCAAGATCCATCAATGTTGCTGTATGTTCTTTTAGAAAGACAGTAGCAAATTAAATGAGTGTAGCAAATTAAACTTGCAAAACATCACCACAGTCCATTTCTGTACTATCTTGCATCATGCTGGGTGCTGTAGAGGTTTATTACTATGCTACAGCTTGTGTATTCAGAGTTCTGGTTCATTAACTTAAGTAACAGAATACCCAAACAATCAAGGTAAATTGCTGCCTTTACACTGTCTCTAACCAGACGTGGCACGTTATTCATTAAGGCTGGTCAAGAAACTAAAAAAAAACCTAAAGTCCAATGTATCAGAGCCGCTTGACAGAATTTATTGGCTGGCTTGGCTCAGCTCTTCAGGCATCTTCTATGCTGATAACTAATTCCAAAGCCACTGTCCTGATATCTGTTACTAACACATTTCCTATACTCCTCCTGCCTCTGTTCTCCTGCCTGTTTCTGGCTGCTAACCTTTTCAAGCTGGATTTCTGTTATCTGGAAGGGGGCAGACCACAGCTCATCTTCTGAAATATGAATAAAACCCCTGTTTAATTGATAGCTCTGTTCCTGGTGTTGACAGAAGGGGTACAAATTTGGAAACAGAACAGAAAGCTGTAACTTTGTATACTGTAAAATATGCTTTTAAATATTCTCAGCATTTGTTTTAAATAGGTAAATAAATGTACAGTAGCTCTTCTATACTGCAATAGAAGAAAACTCTCCAAAACGTTGCTTCATAATAGAATTCCCATACTAAATCTCAGAAAATTGTCAAAAAACTATGTTCATGTGTGATTAAAATTATTTTGAAAGTTATATAGCTAGTTTCTTACTCAAATTTTTGATCATGTTGCTGGCTGAGTTTTATAGCTTCCAACAGGGTTTCAACAGCTCGAGATGACTTCTCATTGCCTGCTTCAGTTATCTGGCGTTCTACCTGACCTAAGAAAGAAATACAGAAAGCAGATTCGCAACATTTTTTTTTTTTTTGGTTCTGTAACATGCAACCGGTTTTTCCCTCCAGGAAAGTTGAACAACATAATGCATTACCCCTGTTCTCTTCGGCTAACCAAATTCTTTTCCAGTTTGTTTAAAATGTAATGCACAATGCTTGTACAGCAAATTATTTCATAGAGTAGCTAAAATAATAAAATTTTGGAATCATAATGATTCCTAATGCATAGTGATCCTACCTAGAAGACCATTGTACAAGGAGGAGTTAACGCACGGGCACAGGCCTGTTCTGTGTTATGCTGCACATACAGTGTGGCCTTCAGGTCTGTGCTGTGCTGTGCACATCCCTTAGCCATAGGATAATGTAGCCAGCCAGCTGTAATAGAAGAGCCTGTTGGCAGCATCTTCTCAGTACCAGTGATTACACCACCTGCCCTTTCTGTAAAAGTACAGCAAGAAGTTCTTAGGTGAATACGCTTTTTGTTTGACTGTAGAAATTATGAATAGAATTATTTTCTTTTAAGGAAATCCTCTAACAGCTCAAAAGACCAAAATGGGGCAACCTTTCCACAGACAGGACCTGTATGTTGTGTTACACCCTGATTGGAACCCCATTCAATACTGCACAACTTGGGGTTCTCAGCATCTGAAGGGACATAAGATTATTTGCACTATCCTCTTTTTCTTCATAGTGTTAACTCCAATAAATGGCATTTTAAGAGATACTTTACAGAGTCTGAGTGCCTTTCTGGCTAGGATGCTAACAAACCAACACCTGGCAAAATATTATGCCACTAAAATCCAAATACATGCAAACACTGTGTAATTCATTAGCTTTGTTAAATCATTTAGAAATACTTTCTGAGCCTCTCATCTTCTTTAGGTCAGACTGATGCAAGTAAGCTAATTAGCTTTCTACAGTGTCCTTAATCTCATTGCCTACACCCTTTGATCCCTGATGATATAGAGGTCGGAGAAGTTCTACTCCAGTTTTGCAATTATTTGTTGCATAATGCATCCTGAACTGGTGTGATCATAAACACAGAAGAGATCTGAAGCTAGACAGGGTGAGAAATATCTAAATCTGTTCTACTTTTACAGTAAAAGGTCTCCATTTTAAGAGACATCTCATGCATAACATTGCCTAGGAAGGCAATCATGACATATAAAAAGGGTTTTATTTACCTATCTGAAAAAGAAGTTCAGCTTCCATATCTAAGTTTTTTGTCGCAGATGCTCTGCAGAGCTTCAATGCTGACTCTAAATGTTTGAGAGCATGTAGCCATTGCAGTGGATCTTCTCTTGCAGGTGTACAAGCTACTTTTTCAGCTAACATGTGTCCTAAGGAAAATAAAAGAGACAGTTCTTAGTCAATTATTTAACAGAAAACCAATTTATGCAAAAAGAAGCAACTTCTTTAGAAGAAATATTGTTATTTGCGGTTACAATCCAAAAATCTAAGTGATTAATGGATATAAGTACAGAACTATAATGCTGTTTCACTACTTTATTATGCCACTGAGGTTTACCAAAGTCATCCAAAAGAGCTCCGGCTACACAGATCAACACCCTTTCACAAACTATCTGGAAAGACTACAAGTAAGCCACTTCATAACTTTATTTCACCTGGCAGTTGTAGGCAAAACCTAAACTTCTCTGAGAATTTCCAAAGTCACTAATTCCTTCTGTACTAACCAGTTCTAAAGGCTTCTTTTATTTAATCTGTGTTCATAGGCTCTTTAAAAAATGTGGATTCAGAAACAGGAGTTGGTCAAATGTGGCCATTACTATGAGTGAGTCTGGCCATGCCTGCACTAACAAGCAGTAAAGCACAGTAGCAGTGGATCTCTAGAGCAAACCAGCTGGTGTTGAAGACCTGACAGCCACAGCAGATGCATTTCAGAGCATTTACTTTGGACTACCTCTATTCTAGTCCTAAGGGCTGAATACAAAGTAGTGGTTGGGGTGCACTGATGGGCTCCTGGAACATAACTTCCTGAAAAAGAATCCAGAATACTCTGAAGCTGTTCCACAATGTGAACCAAAGTGCAGTAAGTGATTTCTAGATTTTCTAGTCCATTATAAGTCAGAAACACACCAAATTAAGCTAAGCAGAAGGAACATGGAGACAATATTCCTTTCCCTATATTTGTTATAGAGCAACAAATCTCAGACAGATGTTAAAGGTTATATTCTGTTAACATTCAGCATTATTTCCAAGTTTCTATATAAAGAAAAGTTATCAAGAGAAGTTGTTAAATTAAAGGGTGACAACCATAACAGACACTGTTTTATTGGGACAGAGAATTATGACCATTATCCTGTATGATTTGGTATCATTAGTTAGTTCCCACATAACTGCTTCCAGAGAGATGGAATAATACAGGACGTTTTCACAGAATGAATACTTTGTACAGAAGTTGGAAAAGTATTGTTAACTCCCACTTAAAAAAAATTGAAGTTCCCATTAGTTTCATCAAGCTATAGCATTAATATTTAAGCCTATGTTGATTATAGTTCCTGTAAGAATTGTACCTTGCTTATACACACTGCATGGAGCCAATCAGGCATCTACTGTTGGTTTTCAAAATATTTTATTTGTATAATGAAAACAATTTATACATTCACTTCTAATGCATGTTTATCTGCTGTTGCGTAAAATATGAATGAAAATTAATGAAAAATTGAAAATAATAATGACTTGCACTTTTCTTACCGATTCTCATTTTGACTTGGGCTAGCAAGTTGATATGTGGCAAGTAGATATTTTTTGTAGGTAGGACGAGGCAAGTCAATGTACTGTCTTCTATTTGCTGTTCAAGGGGTTCTCCACAAACAAAAATCTATGAAAAGAGTATGGTTTGTAAAATCGAGTTGCAGACACAAATTAAATATCAGTTTGAAAATAAGTTAGGTATTGCAAAACCCTGGAACTCAAACATGTCCTGTAAAAGAGCACTAGAAAAGGGCTTGATACTCCCAAACTCCTTTACTTCAGTTTGCACTTGTCTTCTTTATAGAGGAGTTTGGAAGCAAATGAACAATTTCAATGAACTCTTGATCAAATTTATTAGTTAGCCTTTGGTTTCTAAAAGCAAACTCCTTCAAATCAGTCTTCAAGAAATAGATCTCCCAAGTAACCCAAGCCCTAGAAAGAAACTGTCATTTCTACAAAGAAATCTGACATCCAACAAAGGCCAGAAAAGAAAATAACATGTATGAACCAGTCAAATTTTTCATTCATGGAAATAAGGTGACGGGGACATGCTGTAAACTGTTAAGCCTCTTGAAGGCTAGCAGGTCTCAGAAGCGGAAGCCTGAGTCTCAAGTGATTCATGTGTTTTTTTATTACTTGGGATAACAAATATTTCAATGGATTAAACTTCTGTATTAGGACATATAAGGAAAGAATTGATCCAAAAGCATTTCTTTATGAACTGTATCAAGAACGGGTAGAGACTGAGGTAGTGCATATCTATTTTTGGATCAGCAAATAGGTAAATGGTTTATTACTATACATTCCTCTCACAGATTTCATGTCTTTAGATTTATTTTTTTAATTGTATATTTAATTTTTTTCCTGCAAATTATTTCTTCATACTGACTTTCAAAATCTGTCAGTCTAAAACATCATAAGCAATATGCTACTTTATATAGATTTTCTAATTCAAATTATTCTAAGTTAAGATAAAAACCTAAATTGTTCAACTTGGATTCCGCTCAAGAGTTAGGAATTTTATGAGATGTACGTCCTCCCTGAGGTGCTGAGAACAAACACATCCCTCATTTCAAATGAAAAGTGAGTGTTCCACATCTCTTTAAAAAATCAAGCTATCTATTTCAGTTTTCACATATGAATGTACATTTTGCAAGTATTCAATATTTTTGAATTGTATTAAAATAACAGACTACATACATGAGTATGCATGATGAGTATGCATAAAAAAGTTTGGTAAGATTAATTACTTCTTTACTTTA